GGGAGAAGGAAAGCAGCCTGGGAGCTAGGAGGCAGCTCCAGAAGCCACAGCCAGGAGGATGGCAGATGCCGGCAGAGCCTACAGCCATGGCAGATGAGTGCCCAGCCCCTGTCCACTGCAGGTACATGGGGGCGTGGGGGTACTCGGGGACCTTGCACTCCAGCAGCTTTGCAGTTGAGTGACGGGGAAGCCAGTGGGAGCTGGGGCTTTCTGTGTCCTGTGCGGATCAGGATGGGGTGATGGGGGAGCAGGACACCTGGGTTGTCTGCTGCTGATCCGCCCTCCAGCTCCTGGCTCCAGGGCTCAGGGCCGTGATGGGGAAACCGAGGCACAGGGGAGGACAGATGGGCTCTCTCAGGGGCATCCAAGCACGGTTCTCCCTGGTTAAGGCAGGAGGCGCCAAGGGCCACAGGGTGCCTGGCTCCAGGCAGTGGCAGGGGCATGGGGTTTCTGCCTTGACAAAGCCTGTTGCATCAGGGATGTAGGTGCTGGGCGCTGGGCACAGTGGAGAGCTGAGCACAGGGGCTGGGCACTGGGTATGGTGAGGAGCTGGGCACTGGGTATGGCGGGGAGCTGAGCACAGGGCTGGACTCTGGGCACAGTGGGGAGCTGGCGCTCCATCATCTCCATACAGAAACAAGGCATCCCAGTTTCCAAGGCAATACCTGCCTTCACGCCCGCTGGCTCTTGGGTGCCCGCAGCTGTGGCAGCTTGACCCACTGTCCACCAGGTGTTATGGTGATAACTCCCTGGGGCAGTGGCCATCCGTCTGTCCAGCTGGCCAGAGAGGGCTGTGGCTGCTACAGCTGGGCACCGGAAGTGGAAGGGGCAGGGACTCGTGGGCACGGGTGCCAGGACCCAGGGTTGGGGAGATGCAGGCTCCACTGACACCTGAGCAGCCTTTACCTGCTACTGCCAAAGGACCTGGGACTTGTGCACTCTCAGCCTTACACTTGTGCACATGCACTTGCACACTCTGTCACACTTGTGCACTCTCACATCACACCTGGGCATTTACTCACTGTCATGCAATCACAGTCCTGGGTGCACCCACCCACGATCATGCACTCTCTCACGTGCATGCTCCCCTTGCATATGCGCTTGTGCATTTACATGTGCATTGGTGCTCTTGCATACCTGAACACACCCTCATGCATGCATGTACACACACTTGTGCAACCGCACACTCACGTTCACACTCACCACCCTCTCCCTCCCAGCAAGAGAAGCAGCAGCATCAGGATCAGGCCCACTGCAGATGCCCTCACTCCAGCCTGGGGCCCTTATCTCAGCTATGACAAGCAGTGCGCCGGGGCGGACAGGGCAGCACTTGGAGATTACAAGTGGGTCTAAATAAGGAGCTTAGCCACCAGGGTCACTGCGCATTTGCTGCTGGCACTCTCATGCCAACAGCTATTGAGGCTATAGGCCCTGGCACTGAGGATGAGCTGCGGAGTCGGGGGACATTTCAGGCAGGGCAATGCCTGCCCACCCCATCCACTGCTGGCTGGGAGCACCCCGGTACCAGGCTTCACGCACCCCTGATTCCCCTTAGGAATCCGTAGGTGCCCTTGCCCGTGGCACCATCCCTTGCACTGGTGCAAAGCCAGGTCACCTGCTCAAAGCCTGTGTCGAGCCCCCAGGGACCCTTTCCAGACCCCCTGCCAGGGCCCAGGCCCCGTGTTTTCTCCCTCCGGCCGGAATTGTGGGCACGAGGCCTCTTGTGCTCTGTTCTTGGGCCTTGGCCAGGTCTCCCTGGTTCCCTTCCCTCCTCTGCAAGCCAGGAAACCTGGCAGCAGAGGCAGCTTGAGTAGGAGAGGCACTTCCAAGCCCTTTCACCCAGTTGCAGCTGGGAGGAGGAGATGGAAGGGGGGCAGCACTGCCTAGGGGGTTGGGGAGCTGACAGGCAGGGCTTTGCTCCTGGGATGGAGGGAGTTACGGCTTCTTGGCTGGAGCAGGGACCAGCTCCCAGGGGCTTTGAATGGGGCCCCTTCCCCGGTGCCGTAGGCTCCCTCTTCTCTCTCAGGCTTCATCCAGAGTGGTTGCTGGGGTCTTCCCCTGTGCTGTGCATGCTCTCCGCTGGCTCTATGCCCCTCCTGTCACTGTTGCTGCTCTTTGCTGCTCTGCAAGGCACCAGAAGCCACAAGCAGGTCCCCAGTGCTGCTGTGGCTTCTTGAGGCTCGATCGATCGGCGGCATCTTGGCCGAAATCATGCCCCATTCCCTTCCCCCCCACACCTGGGATCTATCACCCCTGGGCCTGAGCTCGCCCTGCCCTGAGCCCTGCCTGGAGCACGCTCTTCTGGATCGGGATCTTTGGGTTCAGCATCTTCCTATCAGCCCCCTGCTTAGAGCCAGGAAGCAGCAGGGACCTTCAGGGAGGTATCTCCCCTGACACTCAGCCCCCTTCCACCGTCACGGCCATCCCTGCTGGCTCCCAGGGTTTCAGCTCCCCTTTATTAAAGCCCCAGCTCCCGGAGTCTGGGGAATCCTGCCTGAGCTGAATGAGGACATCAACGCCCGGATCCTACCTTTCCACTATGTGACACAGGAAACTGGGCAAGATGGGCCTATGACCTGACCCAGTCACAGTTTCACTGTTTCTCACCTCTTTTTGGTTACACTAAATTTGGAGCTGGGACGTGCATAAAGAGATGGAAGGAAAAAGCTGGGCTGGATCCTAGAATTGGCAAGAGACGCCAGCAATCTGGGGAGGGTTTGGTCCTTTGGGCACCAGGGAGGGACCAGGCAGGAGCTCCCTGGCCCAAGGGCTAGGATTCGGGGAGGGTGTCAGTGCATCAGGTATGTACCAGGGGCATTAGTGACTCAGGATGATCCCGCTCTGCCTCGGTGGCGCGTGTCTGCTGGGCATCACTACCTGTCCCAATCTGGACTCAGGCCACTTGTAGGTGCATATGTCCTGGGCCAACTTGGCGCTCTGCTCTAGCCCAGAGGTGGCTGCATTTCAGTGGCAAGGGAGTCTTCATATTGGTGCTTCAGGGGTTACACAGGTCGCCTGCCGCGCTAAGCGCTATACAAAGGCAGGTCTCCCTTATGCCATGCTAGTGATGATTTCTAGCAAGGTTGATAGGGCTGTAGCGTACAGCTCCATGAACCCCAACAGAGATGTGCTGCCCAGCGGGGTGCACGCAGCTGTATGTTGCAATAGGGAAGAGTTGCTGCCTGCTTCTCCTTTCGTTCTGAGCTGCTGAGCTGAGATGACTCAGGCCGGAAGCCCCAGCCACACTGTCTACCTCCATGTCCCCTGCCTGGCAATGCGAGACTGCAAGTTCTAGACAGGAAATCAGAAGCCATCAGTCGCGGGGCACTGCTCTGCCTTGTCTTCTGTGACAGCCTCCCCTCCATGTCGCGGGCGCTAGAGGAGAGGTCTCCTCCCAGCAGCCAGCAGCCACCTCTGGGGAGAATGTGGCAGCTGATTTGGGCACAAGGGTGGACTGGTGTTAGGAAGGGAAGTGGGAAGTAGAAGCATCCAATGTGGAAAGTTTTAAGGGGGGGGAAAGGGGATTTTGGGGGTCTCCAAGCAGAAGTGCAGCTGCCTGCGGTCATGGCCACAGGCGCCGGGGAAACATCTCGATGGGGAAAGCTGGAAGTGGCATTGCATCTGGCCCAGGGGAGGCTAGAGCAGCCCGGGTGGGTACGGTGCCCTTGGAGGCTGGGGAGGAGAGGCCTACACTGTCCCTGCGGGGCTGTGGGGACTGCTTTGATGCAAGCAGGGGGGTGGTGAGAGCAGAATTGGGCTCTCCTCCCTTACACGCACACGCACACACACACACAAACACACACATACACACGAAAAAAACCCTGTGCACACCTACATGCTGACCTAGGCATGCAAACACTCAGGCATGTGTGCACCCATGAGCAAAAACACACTCTGCCGCGCAGCACCCCCCCTTGTGCCCACTTGCACAGGTGTACAAACACAGCGCAGGTATTCATGCACACGTGCAAAATTACACTCCCATCTGTGCTACCCCGTGTGCATACGTGTATACAGGCACAGGGGCATGCTCACGGAGGCACACAAGCGGGCATGCAGAAACACACTGCCCTGCCCGCCTGCCTGCAGCTGGGTGTCAACACGTGTAGATGTGCACACAGGTGTGCAATCCCCCCACACACTCAGCCATGCAGAGCCACATGCTGGCTTGCATGCACACGTTCACATAGGCATGCATGCACACACACACACACACACACAAACATATATGGAAAAACACCTGCATGCCCACCTGCCTGCTCACATGTATAGACATACACTGCATACTTGTGCACACACCTATACACACACACACATACTTTCTCACATGCCTTTACACACTCACACACACATGCTCACACACACCTATACACACATACACCCACATACTTACACACACACCTGCACACACATATGTACACAACTATACACACACACACACCTATATACACACACTTACACATACTTATACACACATACTTACACACATACCTACATACTTACACAGACACCTATATACACATGCACACACATATCTTTACATACACTTACACATACACCTCTACCTGTATACATACACATACATACTTACACACAGACCAACCTACAGACGTTAACACACAAACACACCTACACACACATGCACACACGCACACCCCACAGTAACCAGCTCAGCTCAGGCTCCAGAGGTGAGCGGTGCCTTTGCTGGGAAACCAGTGAGGGTCAGGCCTGAATTTACTGAGGATAGTCGGCTTCCAGCAGCCCCCACCTCAGCATGATCCGCGGGGGAGGGGCCGGCATTTGGGCCACATCAGAAAGCCAGGGCCTGGAGGGGAAGGGGGGGCAGCTGCCTTGGTACACACAGCCTGTGCGAGCCTGAGTGAGCTCCCGGTGATTCATCCATTCCTCCCCAGCCAGACCGTGCCCCCCCTGGGACCAGCCTCCGGCCTTGCCCGCCTGGCCTCGGCATCCAAATGCTAACAGGAGCCTGGCTGCTACGTGCGTGTGCATGCATGTGTGTGCGTGCGTGTGTGTGCATGTATGTGCACGTCTCGCACCAGCTGCAGCCGCCTGCTCGGAGGTAAGCGGTAACTATGGCGACGCAAGGAGGGTCCCCAGAAGAGATGCGCTGCTACAAAGGGATTTTCCTCGCCTAGATCGCAGGGATCCCGGCGGAAGCAGGTGGGTTCCCAAGCGCCGGGGGGGAAAGGAGGATCTCCAACTGCAGCCCAGGGGTGGGGTGCAGGGGGCAACAGGATGGGGGGGGGCACCCCTTGGAGCCGGCTCTTTGCAAGGGGGTTTCCTGGCTGGGGAGTGCCCCAATCCTTCTGGCATGGGGACATCCCCTGTGCATGAGCAATGCAGCATGGGGGGCTTCATTGTGCATGGCTGCTGTGGGTCTCAGGAGAGCTGGGCTGGCTCTGGGTATGGTCCCTGCACCAGCAGGAGCTCAGACCCCTTGCAATCCCCAACGCGATGCGGTGGAGCCAGGCCCATCTGCCCCTTGCATATGGCAGAAATCAGCCCCAGTCTCCCCGCCCCAGCCTCATCTCCCTGTGGTCCCCGCGGAGGTGCCGTAGGTCTGGGGGGCACCCCGCTCCCCACCCCCCACAGCCCTGGGAAGGCAAAGCCAGCCTGCCACTGGCTTTGATGGGGGGGGGGGGAAAGA